ATGTTACCCCTCGTGACAAACTTTGTCTGTCATATTCCTGCACCATCACAGTGACAGCAATGCTGTGGAAGGGATTATCCTCCACAGTGTTTCCCATGTGTCTTGCGCGTATCAAAATGGATCCCCTGCCATGTATATGGGGACAAGAAGAGAGGGAAGATTTCATTATTATAGTAATAAAACCAGAATTAGCTAATTCGTGATGATTTTAAATATTGAGAGCTGCTGCTGGTCACCTCATGGAACCTATTGCAGCTGAATTTGGCTAGCTTGTTGTTTAGTGCAGGTGGAAAAGGGAATTCAACTTTTACTTGTGTTTTCATGACATGCTGGATACTCCACTTATGCAACTGTCTTAAGGGCAAACATTTTAACCCCTTGAGGTCTGCTGATCAGGAGCACCAGCTGTTAAGTGCCAGCATGCATCCTGCATCCGTGCCTGCAGGGAGAGGAAGGGTTGCAAAGGATGTGACCCTAAACTTCAGAAACCGCTTCTCTCCTTGGGGGCAAAAATAACGTTCAGCTTGCATCTTCTCTCGTTTTCTTTTGGTTTATCCAGTTAATGTTCCTGATGTGGGTTGTTGTGCACTCACTGTGAATGCTTCAAGCTTTTAGGAAGATGATAGTTAATTACTGAAGTTAAAATCTGGCTTGTGCTGGCACGGAAGCACTTTCAGAGGTATTTACTCAGCCAGCTTGCTGAGCTGCTACGGGCAGGGGAAAGTAGTATCAAGCTTACCGTGAATTACTGCAAATACATGTTCTGTTTTAAAAAAACTGCACATTACACCGTCATTTTTCACACTTCTGGTATGCTTCCTCTTTTATCCCCTTCTTTATTTTTGCAAACCGATAGCACTGTTAAGCAGACAGGTACATATTGGTGAGGAGAAAAGATGGAAAATACTCTCTTTTTGGCGTATTTTGTGTATTTTTTTCCAGTTGTCAGTGCTCTCCTGCCTAGTATATTTAATCCTTTCTCTAGATTGTTATATGACAATAAATTGACGTCTCCATCTGTTACTGGCCTTCATAGTTTATTAGCGTGTGCAAAACACTTCCAATAATGGGATATCCTTGGAATCAGTGGATCAAGTTCTTCCAGCTTTTACTTTAAACCACTGTATCAAATTTAGCTTGTATGTGAGCGTTCCAGATAAGCAAAGTTTAAAATACCTTAGCAGCGAGTGGATATTTTGTGGTCATCTCAGTAAGAGCATGATTTGACCCTGATGTCCTTAGATGCAATATCCCTCTCTGCCAATGTCATGTAGCACATGCTGTATTTTTTGTCATCTGAAATAGCTCAAAAATCATAAAGAAAATGTTATGTGGTACTATAGAATGTTGTTCCATACACCTGTACTCTCAGATTAAACAGAAAGCCTCAGCGTGGCAAAGATGATGTTGAATTTGTGTCAGATTTCAACAAAATAATTCCAAAGAGAGTTGAAAGCTCACAGTCCAGTTAAACACTGAGCTTCTCTCACCTCTGAAGGCAGGTTGGGTTCAGAACTCTCTTTGTGCCTTGAAAATAATTTCCTTTGTCCATCTCCGTCACCAGAGAACTTTCTACAGACTGTCGCACACGTCAGTGCAAGTGTCTTGAATTTACCTAATATAACAGCAATCTTGCATACGTTTAAATAGAAAAAAGCCCTCATCACAAAATTAGATGTAATAGTGGACTAGCAAAACTCGCTAGTTTTAGACACAGTAAGGGAGTAGATGCAGAACATGTAGCAGTGGATGCGGAAGAGGAAGAAAGGTTTGCTGATGTAGAGAGAAAACAATTCACGCTGGTTTTGTCCTATGCCATTCATTTCATCCTTCTTCCTGTGAATTTTCTTGTTCCAAGATATTTTTCTTCCTAAACAGCTGCCCATCTTTACGGCACTGAAGTTTTGTTGATCAGCCTCTAGGCCCTGAGGTAGTTCCCGTCATCATAGTACGAGAGGCATTCAGAAATGAAAAAAAAGGGGTAGCAAACCAATCTTTGCCTCTGCCTCTCCTTGCCTCTAACCCTCTGGCCTCTCAACCAGACACGTGATTTGGGCAAAATCATACTTTGCTCTGCTTTTCCTTTAATTACCTTTGGCTGAGGATATCCAAAGTGCTTGTGGGTGATGTGCTGATCAAAACCCATGGGCTGAGGCAACACGAATCAGCAAAACCTGATGTTCCAGGGACTTGTACTGAAAAAACACTTCAAAACAAGCTCCCCTGTTGAGTACACTGCCCCACTAGGACTATTCTTATGTTCCAGTGCAAGCATATACTTTGCTGCTTTGCTAAAGCAGTATTCTCTGAATTGTTCATACTGTTAGGCATGTCACTCTGTTAATGATGATGAAAAAGCAAGCATCAGTTCACTAGTAAATGCCTGTAATCTGCATCACAGAAATGGAAGAATTAACTGTTTCAAAGGTAAGCTCAGAAGCCCGTCAGGCCATTAGAGTGTTATTAGGTATTGCCATGAATCTTTTCCTTTTTTGTCCTGAGGCTAGGGAATTTTCAAATATAGACTGTCCCTCACTGGAAGAAGGACGTACACACATCTGTGGGGATGCTCACATGTCACTCGAGCCTTCCAAGTCTACTAGGAGAATCTCTGGCTTCATCCTTGCAGCACACCTCAGAGGCCAGCTCAAGACTGTGGTTAACCTCATACATGGATGTCAGTATCTTAAATTTTTCTCATATCTTGATTTCTGAAAGAAAGAATTCTTCTTATGTTGTGCCAAGATGCTACTGGGACATTTTAATTCTTGGTAATCTCATGAGGCCCCAAGTAAGGCTGTAAAGCATATACAGGACTTACACAACTGTTTGCATGGACATCTGGAGTGGAACAGTAAAATCCCACCTAATGGCACATATGTGAGACTAAACATAGAAATGAGCTACTATGTCACACCAATGCTAGAGTTTACAAAGAGTGTAACTTTACTGATGCTTTCCAGATGAACTGCCACTGCAAAATCTGAAAAAGACTTAAGCTATAATTACTGTCACTGTTATCAGACTTCATAGTGTGTATTGCTTTGCTCTGCTGTAAGGAGGTTTGAGTTTTTTATTTTAAAATAAAACATTCTATGTTTTCAAAATCTGATCCCTGTAAATTCCTGTACAACAGGGGGAGAGGGATGGAAGCAAAAGCCATTCAGTGCCCCAACCCATGGTTATTAGAAAAAAATATCTGTCAGATCCTTTTTCTAAGTTGTCTCGTTATATCTACTGAATGAATTCATTCTATTTCTGATACAGTTGAAGAACATATTTTCATATATATGAAGAACATTCTTGTAGAGCTGATGTTATTTTTAAATATCTTCTCATATCTTATATCAAAGGAAACCAAATTAAATCATTCACTATTAGTTGCTTTTCTGATTTTTTTAGAAGATGATGCTAAGTTATAAAGTTGAGTTGGGTAAGTGAGGAGGTGCATGATGTTTACATTGACACGAACCTAATTACAGTTAGACTTAAGCCCCTAAATTACAAGAATTGTAGGAAGAGAGGCAGACATTGACCCCAATCCTCCAAACCCAGTCCTGGGAACTAAACAAGTATATGTTCTAGTTGTGTACAAGTTAGCTATTGCAGCAACAGTGCTTTTGGTGCCCACAAGTTAGGCAGAAACCACTGTGAATAGTTGGGGATATTTAAATATCTCCAGAGGGAAGTCCCAAACTGGAACATGCTGGGCCAGGAGATTCCTATAACCAGGCAATAGACAGCGGTTGTCATATTGCACATGAAAGGGCCACAGTCTTCTTCAGAGCACATCACTGAGAGTCCTTCAAAACAGAGCAGATTTCAGAATTGTAGCCGATCCCTGTCCTTGATAAACCATCTAATGATGAAAGTGTATGTAAAAAAGAGGAGAGACTTGAGGTTGGCATCTTTCTAAGCCTCAGAAGCTATGGACCCACGTGTGCCCTAGGAGTATGCATGGACAGCCAGGGCAGTAGGCAGTAGGGGAGGGGAGATGAGACAGTTAATTTGGGCTAGGGTGACCTGTCTGCCTGATGCTTTGGCACTGTGTGATGTTCTTGCAAGATGTGAGAGAGCCAAAGGCTATAGCTGAACTTGAAGGATTTCCAGCCAGGCTTCTGCTCTTGGCGTTCATACAGGAGGGACCAAAACCCTGATTTCCCTTTCAGTCCCTTCAAAAAACGTTAGACACTTAAGGAAAATGAGGAGAGTGGTCTTGAAACATCTTAAACTGAAGGAAGTTGAAGAAATCAGCATCTCCCCATCCCCTTTGGTTCTTCAGGCTCTGGGTTATTATGGAAAAGGTGAGAGGCACAAGGATTTGCTTTGCTCTCCACAGATGCTATCTTAAAAAAAACGCACCTCTGTTTGCACCAAGGAAGGGAGACAGTCCCACAGCAGTTAGGCTGTACGTGCCTGTTTTCTGCATCCTGGTGCTGCTGATCACTACACAGCAGCGGTGTGCAGACACTCAAAGTGTAACCTAAAGAAAATGCTGTAGATTTGCTGACTGAAACAGTGGTCATGCAGCAAGATGGTCTGGGAGGTCCTGAACTAGGAATGCACAGACTGTTTTTCCTGGATCTCAGCTGCAAGTGACAAAAGTTCACCTGAATTTTGTTTCCACAGCATAAATCTTCGTATGGTTCGGGCCCTTAATTCAGTACATTCTCTTAGAAGTGACAAAGGGGCACTGGGTGGCATTGTCATGATGGGCCCTTAGGTTCTGCAAAATATATTCTGCTCTGGGTGCAGAGACATTTTTAAGAATTTGTGTTTCTCTGGCTTTTCTTGAATTAATGTTAATAAAAGCTGCCCCAACCTCTTATTTTTCTATATGAACACAAAAATTGCAGCTGCCTGCCAAGTCTGCTGAGAGATGGATGTAATAATTTTCAATTGGACTGTTAGCCCAAAGGGAACCTGATAGCAAGAGATTGACAGATGCAGCATGGATTATCTTGTGCTCTGAACTCAGCCCAATTTGTGGTTTGTTGCAGGTGCTAAAGAGATTGATATTGCTGCTACCCTGGAGCACTTGAGGGACCAGAGACCAGGCATGGTCCAGACAAAGGTACTGTCAATAAATCCACTGGGATTTCAAATACATTAAAGGTCTTTCACAGTAGTTGTTTTCATGACAGAAGAGAGAGGGTATGACCTAATTTAACGCAGGTCGCTTGCTGATTACTCTGTTTGGCTCCCTACCAACTGAGGTTTATTTATGCTGAAGATTTATCTAGGTTACTTTCTTTGGTGTTTACTGCTCTTTCTTGTAACATCTTCAACATCTATCTTGATTACCATATATGAAGGGCAGTCAAAACAACAATCTATAGCCTACTAAGGAAAATGTGCATTTGAAAGAATGTTCTTGCTTTCATCCTGAAATATGGATTATTTTCTTAGAGTATCTGTGCTTAACTGTGCATGTAATATTTTTTTAAAGTTTCAACTTATTAAAGAATAGTAACTGCTGCATTTGAGGGTTTTTATGGAAAAAAAAAGTTTTAAATTAGAGGAAATACAGTTTTGTACAAAATCAAGTAATTTTTAGTACCATTGAATGGAAGAGCTTACATCACCCCTAAAGCCATATCCTTTATGGATGTGGCATGGTAACTATATTTCTATCCTTTGGGGAGGTAAGCATCTTACTCTGTAATTTCTGACAGCTCTAATAGTTTTGATATTTTTCCACAACGTAAAACTTTTAAAGATAGCTGATGTGTAGTCCTGTAAATTAGAAATCAAACTTTCTACTATTAACAATTTCAGTGATGTAGGAAATGGTATTTTGGGATATTTGCTGCAAGTTAAGAGTTGCAAATGCAACAATAAAGAAACTCATTCGTGGCATGGAGACTGAATAAATCTGTATATGACATTGTAAAATATCAAATTAGAATTATAGCCCCAAACTGAGCAAAAAGAGCAATGTGAAAGCATTCTGGCTTGGCCAGGCTGGAACTGATAGGAAATTCTGCAGCATTTAGGGAGTTGAAATTGCTGAGGGCAAAGGTGAAATAAATGTGTGTTGCAGGAATCATTGGTTCATAACTTCTCTTGAATCTCTTCCTAATCATTTTATCTTCCCACTAATACTAGGAGAAGTGGTGCTGGAGAGCAGTTGGAAGGATGTTAATTATTATTTACCAATTAAGTGCCTGAAAAATAAAGATGAGGCAGTCAGAGCTAATTAATCTTTATCTGCAAGTAAGACATAAACTTGCACAAATCCTTCTTCTGCTTTGATTATTCAGACTGAGAAAAAAGTGCATATAATACAGAGTATCCAGTGTCACAGATATTTACTCTGAGGGAGGATGCAAGTCCTTAACTACTCTGTAAATGCATCCAAAATATATGACAGTTCTGTAGAAATATAGAGCTCACATTCCCTCTCAGAGCAGAGAAATTACAGCTTGTTGCCTTCAACAAAAGAAAAAACATGTCTGCAGAACCAAAGAATGAGGTTATGCTAACAATTTCTCTTACTTAGCTCAGAAATAGTTACCCGAGTCCCATGAAAACGTCACTCAAGACGTTTTTCCCCTCCAAACATTTATCTGGAATAGCTCCAGAAAAGAAATATATCCTATGTTTTCATCCTGGATGAAATATTTTCTCAGGATATTGCTTATCTCTCCTCTTGCTCCTTCTTCCATCATTGTCATTTTCTCAAAACCACCCAAATCACTTATTCAAGCTAATGTCTTGCAAATTATAAATATCTGGTTACATGCTAGCAATGCATGATCCCCAGAGAATTTTTCCAATGGATTTAAACAAACCCCTGTGCTTTCGCAACTGAATACAAATGAGGAATATTAGACCCTTGCAGTAATTTAAAACGATGGATTAAAAGTCAGGTTAGAAATGCCAATTACAGAATATCCCTAGGCAAAATAAACACCAACTTACTTCAGCAATATTATTGTGTTTCCAGCAGGCAGCGCTCCACATTTTCAATAAGCATGTGAAAGATTTGTTTGCAACATTTTGTCTTCTGGAAGGAATCTTTAATTCAAAAGCACTGTATATAATAAATGGTAATGAAATTATCATAACGACATTCTGCATTTCTGTGAAGCATAATAGGGGGTTTGTGGTTTTATTTTTTTTCAGAGGAATCATAAAATAGAGTTTATATGCCACGTGTGAGAGGAAAAAGTAATAAAGGAGGAAGTGTATTCTCTGTGATGGAGAAAATATATATTTACTTTTTTTCTCTCTCCTATATATTTCCTCTCATAATCTGTAATATTTAGCCAAGATTCTTTATTGTGTCGTAAATACTACATGTACTCGGTATGTTTTTCTTGGAATTTATATTTGTAGACCTAATGAAATATAGCGTATTACTTTTTCCTAAATATATTCTTGTCACCTCTAGATTACAGGGGGATTGATGGCACTAAATGCCTGTCCATCTCTGCTTTCTAGGCAAAGCTAGATGTTAAAATTCACCTCTGGTCAATCTTGGAAATGCAAATAGCATATGTGAATGAGAGTACAGCTGCACAAAAAACAAACTGAGGTCCTTTTAAAAATTATTGAAATTAATTTTCTCTACCTGTGGTTGTTCTCATGGAAAGGTGCGCAAGGTGCGTAAAGGCTTTTCTTACGCATCAATGGCAGCTGTACTATTGGTGCTTTGCCTGTGAGTATTACATAAAGGGAAGGAGGGGGAAGAGCTCAGCCGTGCTCTCCCAGAGAGACGTTGTCCTCACACATCTCGTGTCTGCTCTGCTGTGCCCTTTACTGCAGCATTTCACCAGCAGTTTTGAGCTCTGGCTGTAAAGATTGTGGTAGTTTAAGGTCACACCTAACGTGACCTGGTGGTCTCCACTGAACTTGTCTCCAAAATCCATAGTGAGCTTTGGAGTTCATGTTGATCAGTGCGCGGTCCTTGGGCGAGGCAGATACTTTTCCTCAGGTGAAGCGATGATGCCCCACGCTCACATGAGGGGAACCCTCCATGAGGGGTAAAGGCACTTTTAGGTCAGATGGTCTCCAGCCTGACAGATCTTCGCAATAAGATGAATACATCTCAGGCCAACAAGGTTAAAGGGCAGATTTGCTTAGTGAGTAATTTTAGAGTAATAAAAGTTATTTTCAGCAATGGGACTTATATTAAAGCACTGTAGTCCTCGATCTTACGAGCTTCTCCTGGCTGTAAAATACTCAGATGAAGCCTTATTAGTTAGGTAGCCTTATTACCATGGGCAGCTTCCCTTCCACACTGATGCACACCACTTATAAGAGACATCTGCACATCTCTGGAACTTGTCAACCCCAGTGTGCTCAGATCAGCCTCTTCTGTTGCTGCTCTGCCCGTGCTCCAAGGACTGGCAGTGATGGGGCCCGGCTGTCCCGCTCACAGCTGAGAACCGGCATCCCAGGAGAACCTGCCTTGCCCCTCTCCTGCCAGATCCTGCACAAGGGTCTCCCACCCAGCCCAGGCTGCTCCACAGGTCTCTCACCTCACAGGGCTGCGCTCCAGTGGTTGCTGGCTTTTCCTGCCAAGGCTCTTTTTCCCAGAGGCAAACTCTCCTCATGCATCAGCCCAAATTTCCTGAAGCTTTTTGATCTGGTACAAACACCTGGTTTGGTTCTGGCATGGCATGTCTGGATAAACACCCTCTCTGCCTCTGCTGCCCTACAGCTCCTCTCACATACTCGCTGTACTCCCGTTAAAATGCAGCTTATGTTCCTGGGTGGCCACCAGCATTTCTAGTATTTTCTTTAATTGCAGAGACCTTCGGGAGTGCAGGGAGGCATGGGCAGGCATATACATCATTTTCTGTGCCTAATGAGGATGAGTCGTACTCTTTAGGGTGAATTGGTGTCTGATTAAAAACTATTGGCTGCAGTCCAGCAAATGTAACACAGATGCCACTTTGACAGCACCAAGCAGCAAAATTCTTGAATGTCAGTGTCTCTGAGAAATTATTCTAAGTTTTGTTCTTTTTCTTCTCAGAAACGGTGCCCATCATTGCTTTGCTTCTTTCTGAGGTATCTCCATACAGACTATGACTCTGCTATGGGCTAGGACAAGCAGAGTCTTTTCTAATTGGAGACACAGATAGTATCCCAGCAGTGAGTTCAGAATGCTTTGCAGGGTGCATCACAGACCTCCATTCTAAAAGTTGGTTCTTCAGCAACTCTTGACCCTGGCTGGCTTCAACTACTGGAGTACTTCTAGAAAATCCAGAAACTTCTCCACAGTCCTTGTCTGGTATCCTTCATTTGCCTATGTTCTGGGTAAACTGCCCACATTTCTTTTTTCATCTGAAAAGTTGCAAGTGCCAAATCATCCTGTCAGATATTTCAGTAAGATACATTTCTGAGAAAAAGTACTTGCCTAGAAAATATAACACCTGTTAACCTTGAAGAAGTGAAACTCTGTTTTCCTTCTGTAGGACCACACATTTCAGGAGTGTGTTAGGGTTGCACTTGGAAGAGGAGGCCATTCATGGTTGTGTCCTTCACACCTCTGCCAGCCCAGCACAGAAGCCTGTTCATAATTTTGATTTTATGCCTGCAGTAAATTAATAGCAGAGAAAAGCCTTCCCAAGTATTTCTTAAATTGGAGTGGTCTAAACATCATTTGCTAATTTGTAGGTGCAGAAAGGCCATTAAAAAGGGAGGCTGAAAAAAACCAACAACAGATAAACCAAAAAGTAGATATTGTTCCAAATAATAGATGTAAGGTGAGAAGATATCCATTCTAGGTGATTGCAGCTAGAAGCAGACCTGAGAAAAGCAAAGGCTCTGCTTTGCAGCATCTCACCTTTCATATCTCAGTGGGGTTAACGAGTTTCCATCTCCATGTCAGGAAACGTCTGGTGATCAACTACACCCAAACCCTTCTGATCACGCAATTGCAATACATCATTGTGTTCCAATAGCTTAGTTTCTGCTACCAATATTTTTCTTCATTAAAGTGAGTCCAGCTTCAAGATGCTGTCAAACATGTTATATGGCATCAATAATCGCAGAACATTTTGTTCCTTTCCATTACAGTGTACAGTTCACACTGCATATTCATATTTTGAACAATGTCTTGAGGATGCTTGGCTGCAGAGTAGCACACCAGGCTTTTGGAAATTGTTTTGGTTTATTATTCAGAGTCTGCATTTGTTCTCTCCACAGGAGCAGTTTGAGTTTGCTTTGACAGCGGTTGCAGAGGAAGTGAATGCAATACTCAAGGCACTTCCCCAGTGAGAGGCTCAGTCTCCCGAAGGTTCCCGCAGGATCTGTCCCTTGTTTTCCTCATCCTCAGTCCCTGTGAATGTTCTTGGAAACCGTGACCTGACCTTAACTGTGTATCTTCTGTTGTAACCACGTAGTGATAGGGTCCTTACAAGCTCCTTTAGCTGGTAAAAGTTCAACAGTTAAAGTGTGTATTCTGTTTTTTGGGGTTTTAAACAAATTTTTTAAAGTACATTGAAGCCTCGGATTAAGTGACAGAACAATCCATCTAATGCCTTTCACATCCTCAAAGCCCTGAATGTCACACTTTGAAAGCACACATTCATGTTCTTAATAGCAAATATACAGTATTGTGGGTAATTAGTGCAGTCAATATAGTCTCAGAAAACAGTGTTCTGCTATATTTTGTAACTTCTCAAAGGCTGAAGAAGAGGGAGGGGCCTGAAGAGGATGGTGGTTGTTCCTGTACAATGCCCAGCTAGAGCATGAAGCAGTGCTGAGGGTGTGAGTAAACACAGGTCTAGGCTCTGGCAAAGAGAGCCTGCACCTTCTCATGCTGGGCTTTGGCAAGCAAATGTTTTCTTAACTGTTGTTTACTTTTCAGCTTTGTGCCACGAGTGGAAGAAAATCTGAACTCGAAGTACTAAATAGGGCTGCACAGTTGTTGCAACTGGGGAGAACAAGTTGGTCATGTAAATGAGAAACTGGAGGATAATGAGCACAAGTCTGGCCGTGTACCCACCACTGACGGTGTGGAAAAGGAGAGCGTGTGCTCACCTCAGGTGATAGGGAATGCCCCTCGGCAGTCAGGTAAATGTCCAGAGCTCTTACGGAAACAGATTGTTGATCTTATGGGATTACTGAGGAAGGAAATGGGACTCTCCTCTTTATATTTTTTGCATTTCCCGCTGTAAAATTTTGCTGTGCCATCCTTTCTAGTCAGGAAAATATATTTCTGTAAAAGCCTGGCTGAAGGAGAAATCTCCAGTCTGCATTTTATGATTCTCATGGAGTTTGTCTGATCCAGACAGTCATTGCACCTTTCTGCAGAGACTCTGCTTGCTCCTTGTTCTGAATGACACCTGTTTTAACTAACCATTAAGGGATAAAGAAGCACACAGGTTAAATTTCAGAGGTCATTGTGTTCTCAGAATCCTAATGCCTACCATTGCAGAGTAATGCTAAAATATATCTGTAAATGGTTTGATTATGCAATCTTGCTTACGTGAATTCACAGGTTTAGTTGTGGTACTCTTCTGAAGGAATTTAAATTATTGATAGAAAGTACTCTAATATGCTTCAGTGAAGGGCCTGAGAGTGAGATTATCAAAGGTGGCTAAGTGATCTAGCCTCTTGATTTCATTTTCAAGTGAATGCTCTGATGCTTTTTCATATGTTATCCTACATCTCCATGATTTAAGAATCTGGGGTACTTTTTTTCTAAAATCTTACAGCATCAGTGTTGTGTGCTTGAAACCATATTAGGCTAATCATTTGACTTCAGCACTAGAAGATCTATTAATGAATTTAATTTGGGAAGGGAAAGCTTTTATAGACTTCTAATCAGCGAAATGTTAAAGATAACACTATTACAGAGTTTGACTGGCACAGAGGTAACAGACATCTATCGAAGTTGAAGTCAACCATGTTGCAATTCTGTGTTGTAGGTGTGGATATTGGTGATTTCTTCTTTTTAGCAATTAAAAAGCTATTAAAATAAAAAGCAGAAGGCTCGTTACTTTTTGCCATACATTTTTGTATGCTTTACTTGGTTTGTGCTGTTGCTTAATTTGTGCATTCCATTACTATCGCAGCACAGAGCAGTTCCTGCAGATGCCATCATCCTCTTAAGTACATATACTGTACATTAAGCCACATGTTTATTTTATGGCCTAAGCATTTTAGAGCTTTCCTAGCAATAACTAAAAAAACTAATGGAGTATGAATGAGAAAATTGCCTTTTTCATTTGATAATTTAGGTTTAACAGGATTCTTTTATTACTTTAGCTAACACAAAATTGCAGATCAGGGCAGATGAGATCAGTTTGAGCAGTATCAGCAAGTGTTTGAAGTAGATTTATTGTGAGCTGTGTACTGCAGCTTCCTGAAAACACAGGTAGTTACATCCAAACAAACTGTCCAAAGTATCAAAATTAGGGCATCCTAAGCCAAGACCTCTGATTATTGGGTAGAATTATTTCCCAGTGCAAGATGCTGTACTATTGCCTACTGCCAATGGGTTTTCAGTGCAGATTTCTGCTCTGGGATTCATTAGCGTTCGCCTTATGACTGTCCCTGTGCATACCACAAGCATGGCTGACGAGCCTTTCGTTTGCACTTCAGGAATATTTTTTAATTGTTCTTTTGCAAATATTTGCATTTCATAATAGCAATTTCATGGTGATCCCTGTTAATTCACAAGCAGCTGAGTGTAAGGCTTAAATATTGCTCTTCGTGCTTTCGAGTTTATTTAGCATAGATTAGAAGGCATTAATCTTCCCCAAGGCTAGTAGGGCAGGGATATATTGTTTTATTCATACTTGTAGACCAGTTTACACGACAGAAAGATGCAGTCTTACTCAGAGGGTTAGAGTATCTCCCACAGCACATCATTGACAATCCTGTTACTTCAGCCGTGTTTTGCGCAGTTCTTCCACAAAGAGGTGCCAGGCTTATTCTGTTGACTGTAAACTATCACACAGAGTATTTTGTCTGTGCAGGTAGCATACTGTTCACACCCCTCAATAAATGCCCTGCTTCTGGGGGTGTTAATCTGCTGCAGGGTCAGTTAAAGAAATGCAGGTTTCAGTTGCACCAAGGATGAGCTGGAGGGATTTGACAACCCATTTCCTAGGAAGACACCAAAGCCATGGATGAAGCCACAGAGATGGATTTCTCATGCTGGGCAGGTATTTCTTTACCTTTTTCACTGCAGTTAACCTAATCCTTGTGATTTAGCGAAGGATGTTGTTTAGGTCACCGCTGGCCACTTGAGCTGAATGTGGGACCTGCCCCGCATTCACTTTCAGGTTGAGTTGAGCTTCTTCCTGGGAGCCAGGACTGCCCGAGAGCCCAGAGTCAAATGAGTCCCATCCTCCCTGTTCAATATTCTGCTTGATCTTTAGTAAACTAATAGTGATTGAAGCTTGGACTGGTGCTTGACATGTAGCCATAAATAGCACATGTTTAGTATTGACCATCCTCGTGTTCTTGATAAAGACAAATTGAACCTACAGGTGCTGTTTGTGTGGTTGAATCTTTAAATGACATTTAAGGGGAGGACTTGCAGGAAGATGAATTAACCCCAGTACTCACAGTTTCCTCCCTTGTTGCCCAAAGCCTGTGGCAGAGAGAAAACCCTGTTTTCCCACAGGCATAGCAGTGAGCAGGGCAGTGACCCCACCAGACCCCATGCTTGTGTAGCCACAGTGTGTGCAGATCTGAGGGACAGGGAGGTGGTTGTCACCAGCTTTGATAGTTCATAGGAGTAACTGCACAGTTGCTCTCTCCAGCCTTTGCCTTTCTGGCTGGGGTTTAGAGGGATGGAGGGGCAGGACAGTACCATTCCCCAAAGCCTAAATCCTTGAGGTTCAGCCCTAGTCACAGGGAAAACAGTGTGGGGTTTGCTGCTGGCTTCACATGTTTTGGGTGTGAGCTCTGACCATTGCTCTTGACTATCGTCTCTGGGACTTGGTGCAGCTCAGGTAACATCTAGTGGTAGCCCTTGGCAACTGTGAGGGTCAAGAATGAATTTCA